CTGTTGCTGCTCCCGAGGTAGCTGGAAACAAGGAGGAGCCAAAGGTCGCCGCCGAGTCCCAGCAGTCGGATGATGGTGCTGTGCGCACCGAACATTTGTTTAAACACCCGCTGCAAAACACATGGACACTGTGGTATTTGGAGAACGATCGCACCAAATCGTGGGAGGACATGCAAAACGAAATTACCAGCTTTGACACAGTCGAGGACTTTTGGAGTCTGTACAATCACATCAAGCCGCCATCTGAGATCAAATTGGGTAGCGATTATTCACTCTTCAAGAAGGGCATACGGTAAATGCAGCCCACGTTAAATACTTTCAACAATCAATAATTATGTGTTTACCTTAGCCCCATGTGGGAGGATGCTGCCAATAAGCAGGGTGGTCGCTGGGTGATCACACTGAACAAAAGCTCTAAGAACGATTTGGACAACTTGTGGCTCGATGTGGTAAGTAACGAAAGGGCCGACAGATGTTTATTTTAGACATATGTATTTGATCAATTCGTTTTCTATTCCGTTTTAGCTGCTTTGCTTGATTGGCGAGGCATTCGATCACTCCGATCAGATTTGCGGCGCTGTCGTCAATATTCGCGGCAAGAGCAACAAGATATGTAAGAGATCCTTACAAATACTTTATTTCACACATCCAATTTATATTCTCTTCTATTATGTTTGCTTGCAGCCATCTGGACTGCCAATGGCAACAACGAGGAGGCCGCTTTAGAAATTGGACACAAGCTGCGCGATGCTCTACGCTTGGGGCGCCAAAATTTGCTTCAATACCAGCTGCACAAGGACACCATGGTCAAGCAGGGCTCGAGTGTCAAATCGATCTATAATTTGTAAATTTTCGAGATATGCTCTCCAAATTTTGCAACAGTTTTTTATTAGCTATTTTGCGTTGCCTCTTATTACTGGCTATTATAGTCAATCCAATCGTAGCAACGTAAAGTAAACCAACCCAACCCAACAGGCAAAAGAGAATATTAACGAGAATAAACCCCCCTTGTTATCAGAGAGTGGCGCGTATTATCAGACGCACCGCTTTTTAGTAATGGAATATGCGAAAATAAAGAAAAACTAAGGTTAAAAACGATGTTTTATTTATAAATGAAATTTTGATTTGCATAATGCAGATGAATGGCGTGCGCTTCGTATTGGATACATGCAACATATTAAAGGTATTGGAATCACATTTGTTTGAAGCTAGTGGGACATAATTTCTTCCACCCGGCGTCGCAAGTCATTTCTGCCGCAGTCGGCGAGTGCCCGGCTGAGCTGCACTAGCAGCAGCCGAGGATCATTGCACTCGTCCTCCTCGAACATCTGAAGCAATCGCAGAATGCGCGATTTGAGATCTTGCGGATAACGCAGCTCTATCTCGTCCATTGCGCCTTCACCAATGCGCAACTTGCGGCCCAAATCACGCCAAGAACGACCCAACTCTTGAGATATTCTTTTAAAAATCGCAGCTCGCTTCGCATCCGTAAATTGCGCCACAGTCACATAGTTCTGCGGAGCTGCCACCGGCTGGGCTGCACGCTGCGGAGCTATGTGCAACTGCTGTTGAAGCTCCTCAGCCAGTCGTTGCTCCTGGTAGTAATTGATGGGTACTTTGGCTGTCTCAGTTCTTTGGTAACTGTCTACCGCCTCCTGCAGCTGCGGATTTTTTATGTTTAGATTTCGGAGAGGTTCAACATTTTCTTCGCTAATTTGATCACTGCGTTCCAGATAATCTATTAGGTCTTCTATTGTCTTGATGAGATCCCTTTTCCTAGCTGATCCAATTTCGATGGAAAAAATGTCCTTTAGCTCTTCCAAGTCTGAGTTGCTGGCACCTTCAAGGGCCATTTGCTTCAGCATATCGTAGCCCCAGTGGACTCCCATCGTCATCGCCATCGTGCAGTAATAAAATACAACAATATTAAAATAATAAGCTTTTGGTAAAACTTGTTTAGGGTAGTCTTAACATATCGATTTTAGGGGTGACCAAATTAAAAGCGATAAGAGTCAGTTCGAATTTTAATCGATTGTTAGCAAGTATTTGCACAATTGAAAGATGCAGCCACACTTCAGTGTTGTCGCAGCCCTTGTTTGTGCAAGTGCGTCTCTGTCGCAGGTTAAATCAAAATGTCTTTGTTTTATTTGTAACTTCAGCAGATTGCTTCTGATAAAATATATATAAATATGTACAATCTCGCCCATAGCAAGCATTGCAGATTACGGTTCGTGTTAATGCGCCACAAATACGTACTTAAACATCCAATTTAATAATTTCATTGTGCATAAGCAAAATATATAATAATAGACACGCACAAACACTCACACACACACACACACACACATTTGCGTCTAGAACACGGACTCGCAGATATTGTAAAAGTTCATTGCCTTAAAAACCAACGTCGGAGTGCAATAGATGTTTAATTTGTATTTAGCAAGAAATCAAAGTTAGCCCCAGCCAAATCAAGCTGTGCGAAGTCAACGAACAAAAAGTGTGAAAAAAACATCAATCAGAGCAGGCATTTGCTATAAATAAAGCAGCAGCAGTAGCAGCAGCAGCAGCAGCAGTGCCAGCATCTGTTTCCCATTTCAAAACAAACAAATGCAATAGAATAACAACAGCAACAACATCATAACAAGAGCACATATCGACTATCGAAAACGAGAAAGACAGCGCCAGGGACTCTGCAAAGGGTCACGGCGGCGGTCAGCAGCATAAAACGTCACAAAAAAAAAAAAAAATAACCATAATAATAACAAAACAACAACACAAACCGTAAGGACTGCTACGTAAGAGTGACCAGGTTTCTGTTAAAAACTACTAAAGCATCCTTTTGAATGCAGGGCATAGAGCAGCAAAAATAAAAACAAAAAACAAACAAAAATGTCGTGTGAAAACGCAAAAACCTCCTCAGATATTGAGCACGTAGACTGGAGCACCGGTGGCTCCGGCCAGCACTACGCAAATGTCAGGTAAGTTCGAGTGCAAACGGCTTTAAAAAAAGAAACACTATTTTCCAGTTAGAACCAATAACGGCGCATTGTTTGGCCTGCGACTGTAAGCTGTAAACAACGGCAGCAATAAATGTCGTATAAATTATTCAGAGCCAAAACCAAATACAATATTCATAATGCAATAGAAATGAAAAAGGGCCTCTTATAATTTTAAGCTGAAAAGTAGAAAATATTGTTTTTGAATGTTATTTATTGAGCGCCCTCCCTCTGCATGTTATTCCGCTTAAATTATTTTTCGTTTTAAATTACAGTAAAGTAGTCCTAGGGGAAAAAAAAAATCGCTTTTTATTCAGCTATTTTCTGGCTACATTTTCAGAAGTCGTCAGCTACTTTTGTTAGGCGGCAATTAGCAAGACAAAGACAATGAGATATAAAATGAAATTAAACATTTGAAAAGTTGTAATTAATATTATTCCCCCCTCCCCCCCTCCCCCTTTCCCTTATTCGTCTAGGATGCGTCATAGGAATCAAAACAGAAGCCGCCTGTCAAATGTGTTGATTCAATCTCTCATCTGGTTTAACTAGCAAACAGCCAAAGCTCATTAATGTAATCGCATTTAGTGAATGTTAATGACGGCAATTAAATTGGCTACAGCGAGCACAAATATATTTATATGAATAGCTCTACGTATAAATAATATAATTAATTATACTAGTCTATTTGAATGTACTCATAAATACCTAATTCCGATTCGCTATAGGGCGTTTTTTTATTATTTTTTATCAACGGGCGCTTCAATAGAAATGCAAATTCTCGCCTTTATATATGTGCATATAAACACGATCAGGTGTCAACTAACTGACACTCGGTGTCTAATTACTTTGATTTATAATTTCAACTTCCGAGCCATGCACACAAAATCCCCATTCATTTTCATTCATTCATCTGTTTTAGCTACTAGCGTGCATTTCGCTGGCCATAATTATGGCGTCATTTTAATTTATAAGCCAGTCAACCAGTATAAACCAAGATACACATTGAGACTAGCGAGTGTGAACCTGAAGTTCATTGTGTCTACGCAAGACGTCCGCTTATCAGAGTCCCGCACAATCTCAACGCCAATGTGAAAATCTTTCGCCTATCCAAGAGTCGTTGGCTTTGTTGTTGTTGCCATTAAATATTTACTCGTGTCGGTTACTTATTTGCCAAGCGGATAATTCGCTTTAACATTTACACAGCCTACACTTCAATTGCAAAACCGAAGCGAAGCGAAAAATATGAACTGATAACTGATAAGGCTCACAACATTAACTATAGAATACTCCCAGTATCCAGCCTTACACACAAAGGGTAAACGTACAAAATTTCCCAAATACATTCGTTATTAGTCAGTGTATAAACATTCCTTACGGACAAGCCAATTGTTGCCAAGCAAATATAACCAGTTCTAGGCGGAATAGTTAGTAGTTTTTAAATGAAAATAAAGAGATTTTTCTATTTCATTATGGTAACATTTACTAGCATGTATGTTTATAAAAATATATTTATTTATGATGAAAGTCCATAACAATTTTGCAGAGGAATTTCGTAAAGTCACGACTTTCAATCCATAAATTACGTAGTTTATGGCGTTACTTCAGTCGGTGAACAGCAAAAAAATTAAAAGACAGTCATGATAAAAACAGCATAATTTAACAGATAAGCATTAACAAGTCACACCGAGACATCAACTTGAAGTTTACCCAGAATTATTTCTCTTAAATTATTAACAGGATACAATTAATCGCGTTTTTGAAAGAAACGCCAGAACTGCTTTAACAAAATCGAAATTTTATGAGAAACAAACTGCAACAAATTCGAATTAACGTAGTTTACACACATACCTTTGCATAAGCGAATGCCTTTGTATTAGTGCACTGCTTTGCGTGAACTGCTTTTCTCCTCCAAGCTGTGCCTTGGGTTGACACAGCCCGCGTGTCCGTGTGCTCCGTACGTGAACTGATCTGAACGTGATATTTTGCACGTTGCCACGATTTCCCTACGAGCAGGCACACTGATTAACAGCCAAGTAAATATAATTTCTAATTGATTTTGCTGGCTAATCAGTTTTTCCCCGTCCAGTCAATTAAGGGGTTAGAACATTAGCAAGCGGTCTTAACTTTTTATTTTGGGTAGAGTATACAGCCAAGATAAGCATTTGTTAGCTGCGCTTGACTTCTGTCAGCTGCAAGGCCCAAACCAGTTGGCTTTAAAAATAAGTAGCTGCAAAGAAATAAAAAGAATTACTAAAATAACGCGCATAATATCAAAAGTAAACAGTAAGCAAAACAAAGCACAGTGTTGAAGACAACAATAAGAAACACAAGTACGAACAAAGCAATCGTATTGAACCGACCAGGCAATACTCTGTTCACACGTTACCACATTAACAACAATTGGGTTGACTCGGGCAAAAGCCAAATTGTTTGACTGACTCTTAAAAAATCATGTCTCAATCTCAACATTTTATTCTGCACAAGACAGGCAATGCCAATATACTCCGTGCCACTTATTGAGCAGGGTATACAAATTAAAAGACAAAGCAAAACAGTGCTAAACGAGCAACTCCCAACTTCCCGTCACGTATAAAGTATATATATATACATATGTATGTGTGTGTATATATGGGAAACGAATTTGTTTTATATTTGTCGCAATATTCATTTCATTTTTTTTCTTTTTACAAAATGTGCTAATTGAGTGTTAAGCAAATGTAAGCGGGTTCGCTAACCGTCCCGATACTTAATACCTCCCAGATATGATGACGACTGTCATCATCAGATTAAGACTGACAGCGAAATGAATGCGTGTTATATTTGAAATCATTCAGCTTGGCGCGTAACACGTTGCGTATACGTTACGCATACCCTCGATCGCCATGGGAGAATGGTCGCCCAGCACTTTCGATTGCCATGTTACGACTCGAATGCTGCTGCTGCAGCAGGGATGGTGAGGGGGGGGGGGGAGAGAGGGGAGAGGGGGTGTAGCAAATGTGCTATTAATTACCGCATGCATGTGTGTGTGTTTGTGTCTATTGCAATAATGCAACTGATTGAATTGATTGCCTGATAGTGGCGACTCACAATGCCCGGCCATTTACATGTCCATATAAATATGGCTGGTATACACACACACACACACATACACACACACACACACACACACATGCTCACATGCATGTATGCACCTCTTGATCCGACAGCGGAAGCGAGCAAGGGCAAATGCAGCAACAACAACAACTCGAACTGGCTAACTTTGCTGGCTGCAAACGGAAACTCGAAACCGAAAACAAAAGTTATCGAAAGTTGTTTTGATTTTATTGAAATTTGCACCTGTCCCAAAGTGGAAATGCGATAGCAATTATTTATTTATATATCTGAGCCACGTTTCATCAGTTGCTGTTCACGTGTGTTAGTCAGTGTGCATGTATTAGTGCACGTTACCCAAAAAAAAAAGCTCCCTTCGCGCCCTGCTTTGCCGCACTCCCATTAAAATGAATTTTCGATCAAAAGCTCTTTCTCAAAAAACCTCTGCTGCTGCTGTTGCAGATCAACCCCCAATGCATCTAGCACAAACTTTAAAACGGCAATAAAAGCTCAGGGCGACTCATCGTTTCCTCAATGTCTATGATCTATGCTTTAAAGCTTGCGCAAGAACCGAGCTCCTGTGTTTGTCAGCAAAATTGGAAGAGGAATGGAAGAGGAAGCTATATAACATACAAGCTTTAAGCTATTGTTACAATGACAGCATATTATATAGTTCTGCGATTCAAAGCTGCAACTAAAGAAAAATGCAATGCTAAGATACATAGCTTGGCTTTAATGCTGTCTCCTGCCATATATTACAACATTTGTGACATAATCCTAACACATAATGGTTATAAGAAAAATTCAGCTTGGTTACAAAATAAATTCTCAAATTTTTGTCCCAGCTTTAACGATTCGCAGCGTTTTAATTTATGCAGTGTCTGCTTAAAAATCGAAAACACTTTTGCTGCCCAAAAAGTCGAGAGAAAAAATTGTTGTACTTCAGCGAACATTATTATATCTCAGAGGACTATAAAACTTAAAATGAAGTGAAATCATATATATGTAAAAAAAAAAAAACAAGCCGAACCCATCAATATTTATCGATTTTGAGAAAATGGGAACAGCTATACAAAAAAAGGATAATCTTCTTCTGCGAATGATAGAGTTTTTGTTATCTCATTCAATTTAAATCCCTAGCTCGTATCTCTCGGAGAACGTCACGTCCATAAAAACATTGTTTTTGTCGACCTGAATATATAGTATATTTATATATGTATATGTATAGTATATTCTTTGTGAATGTCGAAAACAATGACGTTCTGTGTGTTATATAAACAGAACCCATTTGGAACCACCCTTTTTTTTATAAATATTTTGCCACCCTACAGGAATCCTATTGGTTATACTAAGTACGCGTGCATGTATCTAAAAATATGATTGTTATTCTTTGGAATTAAGCGTATCTTATCGCAGCGATAAAGTGAGCTTTGCGTTAATACGTCAATTTCTAATGGTGTGGCAAAGAAATAAAAGCTTTCGTTAAAAAACCCACAAAATACCAAAAGCTCGAATATAGATACCAAATATAGATCCATATTTATACAATATATATATATTGTTTGCCCCAAAAATAGCCGGGGGAGGTCAATGTATGCGCTTTGTTTCTAGTACCCAAAGCATTTTGCAGTCTGAATATGATTATTTAAAGACGAGTTGGGGTTAAAATTCTGAAATGCGTGTGAAATCGATTAACTTGGCAGCCAGAATTTGTTTTTCTTTGTGAATTTTGCCAAATGGGCGTAATATGGCATGGACATTCATTTAGGTGACATGATCCGAGACAGATGTGATTCTGCAAATCGATTTATTTTCACTAATTACGCGAAATCTGTTTACTGCGACTACAAAATTGTGTGACAAACTCATCAAATGGCTGCGTCGCAGGCGTGAGATGAGCCCAATGTAGAAGATGTACATACATATGCAAATGAAGACTGGGAATGTCGCCAGTCTGGCGACGGTTATCGGCTCCTGAGCCTATTAACTAATGAAGTCATAAAATGGATAGAGTGAATGTCGCCGAGAGAGTCTAAAGGATAAACAAACAACTCAATTGAGTGTACATATACAGAAAGATATTAAGCTACAAATACATATGTACATATGTACTTTATGAACGGTCTGGCTACTGTTTGCCCGTTTCACACTTTCCAAATGCGTTTTATTGATCCAAGGACAGTCAATTGCCGAGCACCGAAGCACTGGACACAGCTCAACTACTACGACGTGGCCATGGCCTCAGGCCCAGCCCAAGTCCAGGCCCAGGCCCAGGCCCACAACAAATGTGATGACAACCGGCAGCAGCAGCAATAAAAACACAAACGCTTGACTGGCTTTGTGGCTGTGTCCTGCGTGTGTCCTGCGATGTCCTTCAGCGCAATCACGCACTTGCTGTCTGAACTCTAAAAAGGGGGGCAGAAAGTAAAAGTGCCTCGACTGAAACCAGTTTTTAGCCCCATTTTGGCCAATTGGCCAGCAAATGTTGTTAGTTATAGACGCTTATGATGCGTGGGCGCAACCGGGCTCTAATAATAGCCCGGCCCGCTCGACTAATTGCGCCCGCCATGAACTTGACCACAGTCGCCGCCACACACAGCTAATTGAAATGTAATTCTAAAAAAACGCAACTGCAACTAATGAATGATTGAAGGCCTTATAGTGCATGCACCATCACAGTATAAACAATTGCATACATATTCCTTTATTAATGTAAAAGTCTATGCAAATGAATTTTCTCTTCAATTTTCGTATTAACGATGTTGTTTTTTTTTAGCGAAATAATCAGAATCGTTTGAATTTCTTATCGAACTGAAACAATTAAAACAAACACGCAGCGAGATTAATAATGATTCGGAAATAGCGTGTTCATCTATTTCCAAAAACAAGAAGCTATAAATAATTTACACAAAGATTCTCAGTAAATGCGAATGCCAGGTTCATGTGTTTTGACTCTGTGATACCCTGCAAAAACAAAAAACAATTTCTTTTACTGTATATTAAACAAGAGCAATTCCATAGGGGCAAAAAAATGTAACAATAAATAATCAGTATTTGATTCTTAGAACTCATTTAATTATTTCGAATTCGCGGTAAGTCAAATTCGAATGAATTCGTATTTCGAATATGCATGTAAGTGCGTAGCTTGTATTTTTTTTTGTAAGCTGAGCATAAATATTATATATATAAACAAACAAATATATAGATGAATGTGTATATTGCCCGATCATTATATCAATAGTCTATAGAAAATGCAATGTGCTAACTAAATGAAGTGTTTCTGTTTATTTAACGACACGTTGGCTCCAAGGTGTTGTGCAAATTGTTTTTGGAAATGTTTATCAACAAAGGCGAAGTCCAGCTCAAATATAAGGCACAATAAGTATAAATAGTACTCAAAATGACCTATGCAAATATTACATACAAAACTACAAGCCGTAATTAAGTAAGTTTCTATAAGTATTATTGAACCTACCTAACAAAATAAACGTGACTCTCCGTCCATTCAAGCAAAAGATCTCGGCTGCGGATCGCACTCGCAGCTGATTCTGGTTCATTTGCCTGTATGTGTGTGTGTGGGTGTGTGTGTGTGTGTGTGTGTGGGTGGGTGTGGGTGGGTGGTGATACGCACCACCTAAAACACAACTGTAACACATTTCAACTTATATACGAATATTCATTCATATAATGAGTACAACGAGTATATTTATATTCATATTGCCCTTAACTCAAATTACTGCAATTAGATTTGAAGTTTTTTCTAAAAGTCAATTAATTCTACTTTAATATTAAATGCACTTAAACTAATCGAGCTGAAAGACTTTCGCTCATTAAAAACCACCAATTCGTTTAGTTTCACAAGAATTCACAGAATTCACAAGTGCCGCCTCCTTATTATTGACCCATCTGTTTTGAAGTCCTATCATAACTTAATTGCTTACGATTGTCGTTCTAACTAACGAACGAAACAGTTTGTTGAATAAAGGTCTAATTGCAAATTGCCAAAGAATTTATTACAAATTTTCAGAAGCGCAATTAAGACCGTTGTACACGAAAAAAAGTGCATAAATGTTGTATGGTGCAATCAAATATATATTTTTAAATTATCATCAATAGCAATAATTAATGATAAACAAGAGGTTCTAGTCGGGAGCTCCCGACTAGGGGATACCCTGAACCCTCTTCTTCCGACAGGCGATAGGTATAAAATGATAAATACTTGATATATTTATACTATTCTAGAAGCTACATGTCAATTTTGGTGACTCTAGCTCATATTATTTGCCGAAATTGCTCAAAAAACAGGATTTCGATATCGATTTTTATCGATTACTTGGAAACGGGGCAAGTTATCGAATATCGGAAACAAACTCGATCTGCGCGGGGACTAGGAGGACCTACAGCTAAATTTCAAGTCTCTAGCTCCTATAGGTTCTGAGATCCAGACGGACATGGCTAGATCGACTCGGCTTTTGATGCTGATCAAGAATGCTTCCTTCTGTCTGTTACATACATTTTTACCAATTTTTAATGGGTTCAGGGTATAAAAATGTCGAGCTCAAATAAAATATTAGTTCGTTAAAGTGTAAAGTGTATTAAACTAGAAAGTGTATTTCCAATAAATATACACAACACTTATGTTACACACCACAAAAGCTGTAAGCCTTACCTGAGCTCATGAGAATCACATAGAAAGGCCATTGTAAACGAGTCTGTTTTGCTTGCTGTGAGGTAAACTTTAACTTATAAGGAGGCGACAGCTGCCAAAAGCTCTGAGATTGACGCACTTATAAAGATAAATGCAAAAAGGGACAGGCCAAAGTTACAATAAATGTGCAAATAAGCCAAGTTTCTAAAATACAATGAGAACGTTGCCGTAACAGCGAAATTCTGCTTGTGCCATAAATAAAAAATAGGGCGGCAATGGGTTGAATTTGTATATATATTTTAATAGTAGATGTAATCGTATAGGGCTATAAAATTGTTTACACATTAACATTTATATTTGGACATAATGAAAGAACAAAGCGCAGACTCGGTCCAACCGTGACCCTTAACAAATGCTTTGTTGAAACATCGAACAAAGGCAGTGAATGAGCTTTCCGGATCCGCGAGCTGCTGCCCGTCCGGGTTTACTTTATTTTATTTATTTTTTTTTTCTGCTGCCAATCAAGTGTGGCAACAAATGGCTGCCGTTTCGAATCAAGTAATTCTGTTTGGGCTCCCAGCTGAAGGTCACGCCCCACACTTACACACACACACACACACACTCACACACGCGCGCCCTTTAAATGTCAGAGTTCCGAGTTTTTTTAATGGAGTCCAAATTTATTTGCAGATTCGGCTCTGGTAGCAGCCAGGCATCACAGAATAGCGGCGATATTTGCCGCATCTGTCACTGCGAGAGCGATCCGCAGAATCCGCTGCTGACGCCCTGCTACTGCTCGGGCAGTCTGAAGTATGTGCACCAGGCGTGCCTGCAACAGTGGCTGACGGCGTCGGCGACCAACTCCTGCGAGCTGTGCAAGTTCCCCTTCATCATGCACACCAAAATAAAGCCCTTCAATGAGGTAAGTCGCATCAGCTGACATTTCTCTAATTCTAATGCTCGAAACTAATTTATTTCGCTCTGTTTGTATTTTCTTTCTTTTTGTTGCACATATATTATTTTGTTTTTGTTTTTGTTTTTTTTTTTCGCATTGTTTGGCTTCCCCTATGCCGGCCATCGATTGCATTGCGGCTGACAGTGGCGCAGCCTTGACATCTCCAGCATTGAGAGGCGCCGGCTATGCTGCACGGTGCTCTTCCACTGTGCGGCCGCCCTCTGTGTCATCTGGTCGCTGTGTGTGCTCATCGAGCGGGCCGCAGATGATGTAAAACGTGGAGTGATTGGTTTGTATAAATACATATACATATATATATATATATCTATATGACAATAGCTTAACTCAACTGCATTTATTCGCCCGCACAGATTGGCCCTTCTGGACAAAGCTGGCCGTTGTCACCGTTGGCCTCACTGGCGGCGTTGTCTTCATGTACATCCAGTGCAAGGCCTATCTGCATCTCTGCCATCGTTGGAAGGCACTCAACAGGCGAGTAGTCCATCCGTAGCCGATGCTCGAAGGATAAAAAACATGCAACACCAAAGCAAATGGATAATTTACTTATTGAATTGCGTTAGGCAGACAAAAAGCTATTATTTTTTTTCAAATAACATTAGTTCTCCAGCTGTTCGTTTATAAAAACCCATTAATCTGAGGCACTATAATACCCAGCAAAGTTTTGCCCATAGGCTCTCTTAGGGCGCAATAGAATACACTTTATTTGAATTATTGTATTCCGCCTACAATACATAATATTGCTATTGTATATATAGTGTATATAATTAATAACATTTGTTAATGTATGCCTTCGTCTGAAGACAGACACGTTCGCTGGCACTCGGCTTCTGTGCAAAAACGATTAAAGTTGCCAGCGCAGCCAAGAAAAAGCATCCTGTTGCAGGATTGATGCAATATGTTGTAATACCACATCTCGGGCATCGCGAAATCCTTGCACCAATTATAGCGATCGTGACCAAGATCTCTGCGTATATTGCAGCTCTGTTTAACTAACAAAAATCGTTAGCTTTCTCCGAGTTTGTGGCTTGAACACAAATTAAATAGTCACTTACTAGGTCGTCCAGGACATTGTGGCAGTTTCTTTCTTCTCGCCTCGCTGTGGGCCACATAACCCACCAGCACCAGACAAACCAGGGCCAAATATAACTTCATTTTAATACAAATCACAAAGCTTTCCGTTCAGCTTCAAATGCAAACTGATTGGCAAACTTTTAAGAATTGCTCTTAAATACCAAAATAACTGGAGAAATGTACAAAAAAAATCCAATAACAATGTAATTTAGAACATCTGTTACAGAAAACAGCCACAAAAGTTGATGCACAATTGTAAAAATACTTGTATGCGCAATATACCGACTGCGTAAGGTTTGGGAATTATTTAAGAATTCCTTTTACTATATATATTTCAAGAGGATTAAGACATTGCCTCGCAATTTAAAACTAGGATTACAAATAGGTGTTTGGGGTTTCTATAAGGACGGACGTGCCTTGCCCATAATTAAAAAACTCGTTGCCCTTTGATAGAACCGTAAGGAATTATAAAAGGTATTCCCTTAAATTAAATCTGAAATTTCACAGCAATTGTGTAAATACAATTACTACGGCATTTGAATATATAGTAATATGGTTTAAAAAGTATATATTTATAGCTTTTATTCCTAAACACTTGCTGAAGTGTCTGTAATTTTGTCGAGCATAAAAAAAGACCCCACAATGTATGTATATTCCTGATCAGATTCTTTAGCCGAATCCATATGCAATTAATTCATATAGTTGTCATAGAAACAATTGGTCGAAAATTGTGCCATAAGGAAAACTTTTTGTTTCTTAAGTTATCCCTATTAAATCTAAAAGCGTATCAAAATCGGTAGACAATGTCGTACAGCTCCTTGCTAAAGCACATTTAATATATGTCGCGTTTAATAATTTTCTCACTTTATTAATGCTGGCAACTTTAACTTGCAGGATCCTGCTCATACAGAATGCGCCGGAGAAGATACATCCGTTGGCGCCGCCATCGCCAGTGGCTGCCCACCATCACTTCAGCGAGAGACACAGCTCGCTGGGCCATGGTGCGGTCAATGGTACCGTGGAGATCAATGCCTCTGGCGGCGGACATCATGCCGTACACGACTCGAGCTGCGGCGCCTTGGAGAATGCCTCGTCGGCGGGTCTGCATCAGCATCAACAGCAAATGCAGCTGCAGCTGCAGCAGCGCCTGCTGAACGCCTCACCGCAGCACATGCTGCAGCTGGACGTGGTGCCGCACAGCAGCAGCAGCGCGGGCACCCAGACTGAGGATTCGCATGCGCTACGGCAGCAGCCGGGCCAGCAGCTGGGTCAAGTGGCTGTGGCGGCCAACATTGAGTGCTCCCAGTCGCAGCACAATTACGACCGCGACTGGGCACTGGACGATGTCGTCTCGCAGATCTCATCGTTTCGGCCCTGCCCGCAGGGCTCGGGCAGCATGACACCGTTCCATGACTCCATACACAATGTGCTGGAGCACTCGGAGAGCTCCAGTCGCGGCTCGGCCACAGATCTGTGCGCCGGCTCGCGGCAAGATCTCAGTGCCAGCGGCATTTCCACAGACACCGGCCGTGAGCATGCGATGCAGCTAAGCAGCTTTAGTGGTCAGTATTGCCATAAGGCATTCATTGCTGCTTCAAATGTATGCTAAAATCCCAATTGCACTTGCAGGCAGCGGTGAGCACAAGGCGCCCTCGATCAGCTCCGGTGTCTCGCATGCCGTCGCCAATGGATTGGGCGGCTTTGTTTACAAGCCGCATCAGTCGAAGCGCTACTCGAATTCGTCCATTTTTCTGGAGAACCGTGATATACTCAACGACTCGCCCCTGTGCGTGGGCGTGGCAACACCACTTGCCTATGACTACAGCACGCCACCAAAGATCGACTATCGGCACTCGAGCATACTGGGCACAGAGGAGCAAACGGGACTCAGCTGCTGTGCGGTCGCCTCCGACTGTCAACTGGGCCGGGAGGAGGGGGACGTGCGCCGCTACTCGGACACCAAGCTGGACATGGAGCAAGAGGCTATGCTAGGCAAGAATGCCGATAACGGCGACACCGTGCTGGACATCGAGCTGCCCACGTCTCCGCTCTCACCGCCAGCTGCGTACGCCAGTCACCAGCAGCAGCAGCAGCAGCAGCAGCAGCAGCTGGTATTGCGTCGCTCCTTTGACAAGGGCGTGGACGAAACGAATAATGGTGCTGGCATTGGCAGCGCCAGCAAAGCCTCCAATCGTTCGTCGGCCGATGCGCAAATGGATCGCTCGCGTTTGTTTTTTAAGTCGTTGCCAAATCTCAGCAGCAGCTGCGAAAGTCTCATCAAAAAGTGATTGTGCCCCGCTCACGGATCCTTACTGTGTCTCTCTATCAATGTTGAAAGTATTTAGCGCTAAACCCAGACAGACAGACAGGCAGACAGACGGACGGACATACAGACGGACGGATGGAGCCACAAATACCATTTTCTTTTTCTTTTTTTTTTGTCAATACCATAATCCTACCTATCCTTGGCCCGTTGCCGTTCCTAATTTAACTTCGTATCTCGTAACAAAGCCCATAAACAATTTTGAGACTGCAAACATAACAAAACACAAGAAAATAATGTACGTTTAGAACAAAACAAATATAGTTTCATTCGAAAAAGAAAAACAGTATCTATAACTAAATATAGAATTATATAGACAGGCACTGAACAAATGAGCAAACCTACATCTTATATATATATACATATATACCGACTAAAGCTGCATATGCAGAAACAAATTTCCCATTTTCCCCAGCTCCTGCCGAACGTAATCCCCTCCCCTACTGTCCTTCCTTCCACATCCGCTGCCTAAGCCAAATCCTTTTATGTGTAGCTCATATATATAATATAATTATAATTAAATGCAAGAAGCAGCAGACGTGAACTTGTGACATTTTGTATTTTGTTTCTTAACTTCTAAGTCAAATGAAAATTTTAAAAATTGATCTGTGATTAAGCGTCATTGAATATACACATAAAAACTTAACCTTACATAACATAAAAGAATAATAATAATAATAATAATAATAATAATAATAATAACATTAACAGCTGCAAACACAACCGAAACAAAAATCAATGCAAACAAAAAACAAATTTAAAATATGTAATTTTAAATGAATAACAACCAGAAAACGACTATTTAAAAGGCATTTTGATGATTAAAAGTGCAAAAGCTCCTGCCTGGAAGCTTCTCCGTGCAGCTTTAGCGGTTCTCTTTGTAAATCCTCAGCTTGCGAAAATTGAAGCCGATTTAGTTATAGAATTAGCATAATATATACAGTGCATACTTATGATCGCGACAAGTTGCCCAGCATTACAGCAAAAGGACAACTACATTTTTTATTATGCATTCAAATATTTAAATAAATATATGCAAAACAAATATATTAAAAACTATTCCAAAGAGAATGACGTCTATTTTTAACAGGTTGCGGGATTTCAGAGTTGGAACTTGTAAAACGAACTAAATTGAGCGAACTGAACTGTGAAAGTTCCACAAAAAATGGCGGACATAGAATGAAAAAAGTTCAAATTCATTTTTCAGTTGTTTTACTAACATTAATATCTTTTTTATTATAACATATTAGTCTTTTTGTTTGTACATATCGTTTTTAATAAATAGAATGTGATATGATTTGGAATGAGAATGAGAGAATGATGAACAGCGTCTACTTGGCGTTTTTGCCATTGGCTGCGTTCTTGGCTTTCGACTCCTCCGGCTTCTGCTCGACGGCATTATCCTTGACATTCAGATGAGCGGGTCCCACTTGCTGGATCTGAACCACACGCTCCTTGGACTTGTCCTCAATGGGCTGCGGCTTCGGCACGCTCACAGTGAGCACGCCATCGGAGGACAGAGAGGAGACCACCTTATCGGCCTCATAGCCCTGGGGCAGTGCATAGCGACGAACAAAATGGCGCGAGATGTAGCCGTGGTCGTCCTCGCGTTCCTCGTGCTTGCCCTCCACCACGATAGCATTATCCACCACCTTGACGTTCAGCTCGCTGGGTGTGAACTGCGTGACATCCATGCACACTTGGAAGCCATCTTTGCCCACCTGCGAGACAGGCCAACGCCATCCATCGCCCTCGCCATTTGTCATCTTCGTCAAATCGCGACCGCGCCGGCTGGCCATAATCTTGCCGGCTGGCGATGTGGGACAGGCTGGATGTGGGCACTGCCATGGAGACAATAGCGCCTGTGGCATGGCCCGAGCTTGTAGCTGGCGCGGATGCATGCCCAATCCAAAGTCGTAGACGGGTTGACGAGGCTCGTTTAAAGCATCAACCAGTGAAATCAGATGAGATATCGACATTTTGTTTTAAGTTCTTTTTATATTTTCAGGTTATGCAGCTTTAGACAAAAAATTTTCTGCCGGTTTTATATTCTTTTTTTCGCACAGCGAAGTTCTGCTCTTGACGAGTACTGTTGTTAAACTGTAACGGCACAGCAGTTGCCTCCTGCTTTTATAGCCGGCAAATGAGCTCTTCTGGAAACATCGCGCAGAGTCTAGAGAGCAGGAAAAAAAAACATCGCACAGTTGTCATAGTATGTGTAACTAAAAGAGCGAAACAGCTAGAAAGAGTACTGTTGCTGTTGCTGAGTGAAAGAGAGAATCATAGGCTGGGAAATAACAGCGAAGAAAAGCAAACGCAAACGCACTCTTTGAAACTTTATTTACTTCAAATTTTAAGTACATAATACGCTTATTTTTACTGAATACTTGTAGTCGTAATTGTTTCACACTTGTTTAGGAAATCATAATTTCATGTATCATAGTTCTCATCTCGTTTACCTGCAGGCCCTATCATGTATTATTTATTGTGAATTATCGAAAACACACAAACAAAAAACATTTATAGAATAAAACGCATTCCAATTAGATATTTTTTTTCTGTTATTATTATTATTGTTATTAGTATTATTTTTTGTTTAGTTCTTCTCTGCCTTGTGTATCAATTGTCAGTCTCTACATTCACTTGGCCGCTGCTAGGGGCGGCTCCTCAGCCTTGCCGGCGGGTGCGCCGTTCTCGCTGGCCTGCTTCTTGGCCAGTAGAATGGCCGCGTCTACGGCAGCGATCTCCTCCGCGCCCTTGATGGCCTTTTCGACTTTCTCCTGCTCCACGGGCGGCTCCTCAG